CATGCATTCATGTTACAATTCTTTATTATTTATTATGCAACTTGTCCTGTAGATAACAACAGTGATGGGATAAGGTAGTCATAGAAAATACCTTGTTGTGAAATGAATATAATCATTAGTAATAGTTATGAGAGACCATGCAGGCAGAAAATGGATCTAAAGAACCTTGCACATGGGAAGGAGGGGCTGTGTACAAAGTGATTAGAGTGGTGTGAGTGCAGCTAAGTGCCTACATTAGGAAAGGCCTGGGTAGTTAAACATAATTATACTCATTTAGGCAGCATTTCACAGTGGTGTGTCTGCCATTACAAGAAGGACAATTGAAACATGGCCCATAATGCCCTTGTGGTTCCAGAATAGTCTCCCTGTGGTCAAGGTATTAGTGTGCGTTTGTATTAATATAATAAGACGCCTGTGATGTGTGTCTTGATCACACACGGACAGGTTAAGGGACCACAAGCAGAAGACACTCCGCAGTGTTCTCTGTCTGCTGGACAGCCTTTATTCTCAAGTGCTGGAATTAAAAAAAAACTCTTCAGCTCTGAAAACACTGCGATATGAAGAGTTCATTGTGTCCCTATATCAGCATATCTTGAAAATCGTGAGATTTCGGATACCAGAAGACAATCAGAGCCTTGAAACTAGCTAAAAAAAAAAAATGAAAAAAAAAAAAAAAGATCCGTATCTTTCACCCAGCTGGTCTCTCGAGCTTTTAGGTTTTCAAGTGGCGAGCCATTAGATCTGAATCAGCGTGCTGCTGGCCAGGGCCTTTAGTCGATCGGGCTCTGACCCACATGCAGGTGTGGTGCGCCTCTGCCTCTGACTGCCTCATCACTATACCCCCACCAACGGTCACTTTGCGCGCTTGGACTGAACAGAACCCGGCCTCCTTTTTCTGAGGCAATCTGCTAGAGAGAAAGAATGGATCGCCTACCACAGCAGAAATATGCAGTAAATAAATCGTAATCTCCCGAGAAATCTGAGTTAATTTTTTTATTATTGCTTCGTTCCAATCGTAGTTTATAATGTTTCCAACCAGCAATTGTGGAGAATGTGTTGAACAGTCGAAGTCCAGTCAGTGGTGACTAAAAGTGGGTTGCTGCAGATTAGTCTAAGTTTAGATTTCGCTATGCTGTCCTAGCTTGTTTTTGGTTCATTTTGTTTTTGTAACCGTCATCAATGTATTTGTTTTTCTCCTGCGCAAATGTGGTAAAGAGAGCGTGTTAATGGACGATTGTCTTTGTTCCGCAATTTGTGTAGATGGAGTATTGTCGTGATCAGTGTCCAATGTTACAGAGCGATGCAACTGTGTCAGTTTGTAAACGTGAATGCCATGTCGATGCTCGTTTCTCTCTGTTGAATGTCTGGTCTTCACAAGAAGCATTTATTTTCCAAGTTCCAGCATGTGCTCGTTTTGGCGGATTGTAGAACAAGTGCTATAGTTAAAACGGAGTATGTAGCTGGACAGCTTGTGGTCCATGTGAGAAATTGGGGACGTAGTTGAAAACTGCTTTGGCACCAACTGTAAACAGCTACTTTCAATGGAGGTAGGCTTTAAAAGCCCAGCCTTGATGATGTAATATGCTAATGTAACTTGGGGGGGGGGGGGTGCTGACGGTCGTCTCTTCTATGGAAAGTAGTTGTCAAAATGTCCGCTACAGTTTGTCAACTTGGTGCTTTTTTTTGAAAAAAGTGCACGAAGGGATCTGCCAGGGAAAGTGTTGTTGGATGTGGCTGGTAAATATTGCTCCCTGAGACATAATAGATAAATGTTTTGCAACCAAATCATTTTGAAAAAGCGCCACTTGCAATCGGGAAAAGTTGTTCCAACAACTTCGGTCGATCCAATGGTGTCACTCTCACGGTCACTTGAATGTCTCCCGACTCAAGGGCCGCATTTGTCGGAGGCTGCGAATCTACGTAAGGCGTGGTGCCCTTCGTTGCTTGTCGTAGACGGAGAACGCCAAACCAAAATGAGACGGTCTGGTCTAGCAAGGATTTACAAATGTGGCGTCACCAAAAACCGTGCCCCGCCGTCCCATCCGCATCACAAAGCGTGGCTCCTGTCGCCTAGCAACTGGCACAAGTAATTTTTTTTTCCCAAAAAAAAAAAAAAAAAAAAAAAATTTTTGAAAGAAAGGTTTTTAAGACCTTGGTTTTGACAGTTGTACCGTTAGCTGTTTGGAAGCTGAGCTGAAAACCCAATACTTACATTTAACAATGTAAGTCCTCGGGCCTCTGCCAGTGTTATTTGGCTTTGAAACCGGCGCGCAGTGGAATGTTGCGATAGGTTGGGCGCAAGAAGGATCCGCACTATTGGATCCCTCCATTTCCCAGGAAAAGGAGGACACGTTTGAGGAGGCCTCGTTCGCCTAGTCACGCCGCTGTTGACACAATCGGTCTCAACATGCGCCCTCAAAAGGAATGCAGCTCCTGAATTGAGACAGCAGCTACTCACTCACTCACTCACTCACTTCACTCCACTCACTCACTCACTAATAAATTTGGGCTGTTTTGCTTAGGTGCAGATTATTAAAGCCCCTTAAAAATAGAACCATCTGATAAACCATCCTGCTTAGCCCCTGACACAGCCTCTACAATTACACTATCATGGCAACAACAGTGCCTTAAGCCTTCATTAGGCTCAACAGATAACACATACCCACTTTGGAGGCGCTTAGCAAGTGTTTCTTCATTAAGTGGGGAAAAAAGGCAGAACATTCATTTCAGCCCACTGAGGTTTTAGGAAGCAGCAGGGGATACTGAGCACATAGTCTGCATCCTCTTCGCATTTCCTCTGCTCGCCGCCAAGATATCACTGCATGGGGTAAGTGGCAGAGCTATGCACACTGTCACTATTCAGAAAGTGGGACTGGTCTTTCCAAGGAAAAGGAGGAAATGCAGACAATACTTGTATTCAAGTTATAAAGTTTTTGCTTCCACAGGGTGGTGTAGCTGTAATGAATCACCCGAATGAATCATGAGCGCCAGGGATTATACGAAGGAGAAAATTAAAAACACAGTTCCCCTGTACGCGTTATAAACGCATCAACTCCCAATTCTTTTGAAGGCGTTCGTCTATATGACCGATAAGGCTCGGGTGACGGATTTCTTTGTCATTGTGAGACAGTTTTAATATTACACAAAGAAAAATGGTGAACATTAACAAGTGACAGTAATAGGCCTCAATCCCATTTTACACTGCAGTGATAAAGTGAAGATACTCGGTCCAAGGGAGAAACACAACAAAGCATGTTGAGTGTGATAAAGTGGGGGGGGGGTAAACACAGGCTCAAGAGGCACCTACTGAAGGTGTAAGGATGAGGGGGTCAATATTGACAGATTGTAAATGCTCAGCTAGAAGCAATCTATAATTTGTGATTTTAATATAAATAATATGGACTTCACCTGACCATGTGTATGTTATATACACTGGAACGCACACTTATGTTTTGCCTACTACATGACAGGAAGAGACGATCTTTCATAGTAGCACAAAGCACAAGCCGCAAAGCACCCATCCAAATGTTGACGTTCTGACCCATGAGTGCTCAGGTAACCAGGGTCAACCACACCCATTCTTCAAACCCTCGATCTCAACCTACACACCTGTAAAGTTTTTTTGACTTGTTTCTCTCACGGTTGTGATGCTATCATGCCGGGAAAACAAATCTGTCCCACAGACATACAGGCATATAGAACACCTGCCAGAGGTTTGCTGAAAACCACCCCTGTGCTGGTTTCCCGCTACATTAGATCTTCTCCAGGACGCACAGTTTGCTGGCACACACATACCAACCTCACGCACACACACAGCACACAACACTTTATCAAAAGTGAGACAGCACCAAGCCCGCTGTTGCAGCTGGTAAATAGAGGGTAGCG